GGCAGAAATGGGTCCTTCTGTGGCTTCGCGAATCGGTTCGGGCCCCTCCCTGGCATCTGCTGCCATCCAGACTTCCCGTCTCTGCCTCTGTCCCCACGTGGCTTACCCCTCCAGGCTGCTTTTCTATCTGGAAATGTAGAACATAAATATTCATGAGAATCCATTTCAACCCATCACGGGGTGCAGTAGCACATACCTGTCACGTTGGCGCTGGCTGGTTTGCTCCTGTCATCTCCAGCAGGAAGATCACAGCCCAGGCTGGCCTGAGCTTAAGGTGAGACCCTCACTTGAAAGCAATGAAAGCAAAAAGGGACTGGAGGCGTGGCTTGTGTGGTAGAGCACCAGCCTGCACCCTCACAAGCAAGCAAGCAAACAGCTCTCACTTCCCTGACCTGAGCCTACAGGCAGGAAGGTGTCAGCCAGCACGGGCTGCTGGTCTGTTAGTGTACTCGGCCCGGGGCAGGACCGTGCCAGACACACGCACAGCGCAGACACACCGGGCTGGCGGCTAAATGAGCGATGAAGCCCTGAAGCCCATTTCTGTCCTTAAAGAAGACCCAGCTTTATTGAGGCATAACTTACACACCATAAAATCCGCCCATTTGCAGTATCTCCTTCAATGGTTTTTAGAAATTTTATAGATCTGTGCACCCAGGGTGCAAGCCAGTTGTAGAGCACATCCATTACCCGCCCCGTTCCCATGCAGGCCTCAGCCCCGTGCCCCCTGTTCTGTGTCCATAAATTTGCCTTCGCTGGACACTTTAAATAGATGGAATTTTACCATTGGTTGCAGTTGGTGTCTGTGTTGATTTTACTTGGTTCAGTGACTACCAGCATAGACCAGTTATTCCATTTTTATTTCTTATTTATTTATTTATTTTTTGGGTCCGGTTATGGGGCCTGAATTCGGCCTGGGCGCTGTCCCTCAGCTCTTCAGCTCAAGGCTAGCACTCTACCACTTGAGCCACAGCACCACTTCCGGCTTTTTTCTTTTTGCTTATGTGGTGCTGAGGAATCGAACCCAGGGCTTGCAAGGCAAGCGCTCTACCACTGAGCCACCTTCCCAACCCCTCCATTTTTAAATTAATATATCGTTCTTCACTGTCTGCAAGTGCCACAGTGTTTCCTTCCTCCATCTCTACCAGCGCCACAGTGTTTCCATTCCTCCAATCTCTAGGAGGGCCTCCATGTTCCATTCCTGCATTGATGGACATGTGGATTGGTTCCAGTTTGGGGCTATTATGAATGACTTACTAAGATTTGCACCGACATCTAGGGATGTCTGTTTTATTTCTCTTGAGTAGCCTACTTGTGACATGGGGACCAGTAACAACATGTCACTTTTTAGGTAAGAGAAAGATACTATGTTACTCCAGATACATCTTAACTTAAAACAAAACTTGTCCTGATGGCTGAGCTATGGTCAGTTCTCATCAGCCACACTCAGTGTCTCGTCTTTGTTATTGCTGATGTGGGCTGACGGGTTGTGGGGCTGTGATCCACCTATTTTAACTTTCCAGCCATCGCTAGGATAAGAGGTGCACTACGGAGCCCAGCTCTGTTGAAAAGCAGTCTTTCAAACCTTTTCAATGTTAGCTAGCCTCAGCCTCCCAAGTAGCTAGAATTACAGGTGTGAGCCTTCCGTGCCCAGCCATGAACAGTTTCCTCAATTTCATTTGTAGATTGTTGCTGGCATACAAAAGTACAGTTGATTTGTCCATATTAGTATTTTATCATGTGGTCTGACTGGGCATGTTTATTAGATTTTAGGAATCCAGTCCTCTTTCCCTTCTAGTATGCTGCTGGTCATACAAGGCATTGTAGTCTAGAAGCAAAGATCCAGAAGCTTTCAGTGTGACAGGCACTTCAGCCTGTCCACTCCCATATCCATCCATCTGTCCATCCATCCATTTATCCATCCATCATCCATCTATCATCTATCTGTCTGTCTGTCTGTCTGTCTACCTACCTACCTCCTGATCTACTTATCCATCTACCCATCATTCATCACCTATCAATTCATCAACCCATATATCAGTATTTACATGTACCCACCCATGTATTTATATTTACATCCATCATATATCCATGCATCCATGCATCCACTCACTTAGTAAATGCTGCCTGAGTGTCCACTGTGCTCTCAGCCCTGAGTGTGCCTCTAGGAATACAGTGGTGGACAGAACCGGACCCTGTCCTGTGACCCCTATCCTGTCAGAATGGGGTGGCTTTTGCCTCCGAAGAGGGCCTTGCAGGAACCGGTTTGGAGCAGGGCCCATGCTTTGCTGCTGGTCACTCTCTCCAAGGAAAATGCTGAGTGAAATTCTTCAAACCATGATCTTCAACCAAAATTTCATTTTTGAGGATTCTCCAACGTGTGAAGAATTTAAATGAAATGTCAAGTTCATAGTCAATATTTGGCAATGAAAATGTTGATTTCTGAACGGAATCTTGAAGACAAGGAATCCTGTGAGGCCTCTTTCCAGAAGCCTCTGAAGTGGAGGGCTTTGGAAACCTTCCTCCCGGGAGCCCGAACCCCAAATCTCTCAGCCTCCACTAGGACAGTGTCTACACAGAGGGTGTAAAACCTTCCGGTAGCTTCTCACTGCCTGTGCAACTCCTAGGCACCATATGGAGACTGAGAAATCAGCGAAAGATCTGGATGCTTTGTCTATATGAAAACAAATCATCGGTTATTTGGAAACAAGAGGGTTTTTTGGGGACTAAATCTTGAGTCATCCTCTGGAGACTGAGTTTACCACGTTGCCAGCTCTCTCCCCTTCCCCCTTTCCTCCCTCTCCCCCACTCTCTGCTTCCTCTCTCCCCTCTTCCCCCGCTCTCCTCTCCCTACCCTACCCTCTTCCCCTCCTCTTTCCTCCTCCTCCCTCCCTCCCCTCTTCCTCTCCTCTTCCCTGCTCTCCTCTCCCTACCCTCTTCCCCTCCTCTTTCCTCCTCCTCCCTCCCTCCCCTCTTCCTCTCCTCTTCCCTGCTCTCCTCTCCCTACCCTCTTCCCCTCCTCTTTCCTCCTCCTCCCTCCCTCCCCTCTTCCTCTCCTCTTTCCTCCCCCTCCCAGCTCTGCCCACCTCTGCTCTCTCCCCCCTCCTACTTTCTCCCCCCTTTCCTCCCTCTTCCTCCCACTTTCCTCCTCTCATCGCAATCCTCCCTCCCCCACTCTACCTTCTCTCTCTCCTCCCCCTCCTCCCCCAACTCTCTCCCCTCCCCTCCGCGCTCTCCTCTCCTTCCCCCACTCTACCCCCACACTCCCCGTATCTCTTTCCTCCTCTCCCCCTAACCTCCTCCCTCTCCCCTCCCTCTGCTCTCTCTTTCAGCTCTCCCCCTCTCTCCTCCCTCAGCCTTCTCCCCCCCTCTCCCTCTGCTCTCCCTCCTCCCCCAGACTTCTTCTTCTTCTTCTTCTTCTTTTTTTTTTGTAGATTCGGAGGCTTGAACTCTGGCCTTGGCACTGTCCCTCAGCTCTTCAGCTCAAGACGAGTGCTCTACCGTTTGAGCCACAGCGCCACTTCTGGTTTTCTAGTGGTTTATTGGAGATTTTCCTGCTGGGGCTGGCTTTGAACCGCGATCCTTAGATCTCAGCCCCCTGAGTAGCTAGGATTACAGGTGTGAGTCACTGGCGCCTGGCTTTCCCCCAGCCTTCTTTAGCAGATGCTAGCACGAACTCTACTAAACACAAAGCTGGCCAGATCAACCCTTCTCCCATTCTATATTATTTATTTTTGCTCAAGGCTGGTGCACTTGATCCACAGTTCCACCTCTGACTTTTTGCTGCTTAGGTGGAGATGAGTCTCATGGACTTTCCTGCCTGGACTGGCTTCGAACTGTGATCCTCAGGTCTCAGTCTGCTGAGTATCTAGATGACAGGTGTGCACCACCAGTGCCTGGCTTTCATTCCTTCTCCTGATAACCTCTAGAAGGTTCTCTTCAACCTCAGCATAAAGCACAGCACTTGAGCACTGGAGAGCCGCAGCTCCTCCCCCTGCCCGCCCCCTGCCCATGCTCAGCGTGTGTGGGCGGTGCCTGCAGCTCTGCACCTGTGCCCCTCGCTCTGTTTTGCTCCCCCAGGGCCTTGACTCCTCGCTCACATGCAAATGCACTTCCCTGGGACCCCAGCACTTTGGGTGGAATGAGTCCCGTCTCTGCTTTCCAGTATGCTCAGCACACACTTCCTGTTCCTGGAGCGCTCAGAGCTGTTAAGCAGAAATAAAGAGCTACAGGGTCAAAAAGTTGGGGGAAACCCTGGAGTTAATCAGAGCTGAATAGGTTTTTCAGCTGCAGAAATGTTCAGTGCTTGATATGCCAATGTCACGTGACTCTAACAGGGATAAAGTCAGCTGCCCCTCCTGGCGTGCTGGGTGCATCATGGAGAACCTCCTGGACTAAGGGCGTTCTCGGGGGACTTAAGGGAGCCCACCCTCTCATTTTATTGTATTTTGGTCTTCAAGGACCTTTGGCTAGGCAGGTTCTCTGTAACTTGAACCACACCCCAGCCCTTTTTGCTTCAGCTATTCTTTCAGATAAGGGCTCTTGTTACTGTCCAGGACTGGACTTTGCTCCTGCAAGGCTGGGGTGAGTCAGCACCCCATGCCAAGCTCATTGTTGAGCTGTGTCTCACCACTTGTTTTGGAGGGGGAGGGGAGGGTCTGGGCTGGCTTTGAACTGCAGTTTTTCTGATCTCTGCCTCCCAAGTAGCTGGCATTTTACTGCCCTGCCTGGCCTCCATCCTCTCAATTTATGGATGGGGAAACTGAGACCCAGAACCCATGGCTGGGTGGGGGGAGTTAGAAAAGTGTGACTGCTGGAGGTGGGGAGAGGTGCATGCTGGGTGAGGAGGGGAGAGGTGCATGCTGGGTAAGGTGAGGAGAGGTGAGCTAGGTGAGAGCAGAGGTGCATGCTGGGTGAGGAGGGGAGAGGTGCATGCTGGGTGAGGAGGGGAGAGGTGCATGCTGGGTGCCTCTCTTCCAGCGGGGGGGGGGGGGGGGGGCAGTATGGCCGCTGCCGGCCCAGTGGGTGCAGGCCTGGCTGCCAGCCCTGGCATCCGGAAGAGTTTGCCTGTGAGTGGACGTGCCCATGCCCTGTGGGCACTTGGTAGCTGGACTGCAGACTTGTGCATGCACCGCTGTGCCGTGCGCACCTCTGTGTTGGGTGTGGTCCTCCATGTCTGTCTGGGTGCCCAGGGCTGCCCGGACCTACTCTGCCGTCGTCCGTGGGAGGCCGGCTTGCAGAGGCATGCCCTGGTTTGGCTCCCACAGGTTGTGGAGTCTCTGGGACCCTTGTCTTCTCCAGGCTGGGTGGGGTTTAATAGTGCTCCATGGGGATTGGAGGCTTGGTCCCTGAGAGGTGGGGCCTTGAGAGGTGTGGCTGGTAGGAGGGCCTTAGGGGGCGTGGCTTCATCCTTAGGGGCTGTCCTAGGAAGGGACCCTAAGACTTAGTCTCTTCAGCTTTCTTGCTCCAGACGTGATCTTCCCTCCTCTCCCTCCCCCTGTTTCTCCTCCTCCTCCTCCCTGTGTTATAATCATATACCACCAGAGCTTAGGGACAGTGCCCAGGCCCTGAGTTCAGGACCCAGGACTGGCACAACAACAACAACAAATTATATACCCGAGTGCGCACACAGCAGAAGCCCGTGGAGGGGAGCATGGCCTGGTCTGTTCCACATCACCCTTTGGCTTCTGGTCCAAGCTGCAGTTCCAACCCATGTCCGCACGGCCTGCTCTGTTGCACCTGACAACTGCCAAGGAGATCCTGTCCCCGATCCCGCCCGCTCAGAGCCGTCCCCTCTTCCTGCTTGTTTGCTGAAGGTCAAGGGGGACAGCTCTGTGGGCTGTGGCAGCCTTGCTGTGCCGGTGTGGACCACAGGCTTCCTCTTGGTGGAGGTGGAAGCCAAGGGCAAGGCCAAGGGCGGGGTCTCCCAAGCCCTCCTCCTCCTCTCGGTGGAGTCAGGAGTCCCGCAGGTTTCTTCCAGTAAGAAGGGCTTCTGGTTTTGTTGTTTTAGTTATTTTTATTTTATTTTATTTTTTACAGGGTTTTGGGGGGAGACTCACAAGTGAGGCTTTGTCACATTAGTAAAGATAAGTGGGTATGTGATCACGAGACTGTGAATACTGGAGGAGGGGCTCTGCATGAGCAAGAGGTCTGATTGAGTGTTGGGAAGACACAGTGTCTCCCTCGTTTCTGGAGGGGAGCAGTCGGGAAGTGTGTCTTTGCAGACACACTGGGATCCAGCGGGGTCCCCACTCATCTGCCACAAAAGGCATCATTTGTTGGGGTGCTACTGAGCGCTGGGCCTTTAAATCTATTCCTTCCCAAACCCCCTTCTCCCCACAGCACACAGACAGACCCCAAGCCCCGGCCCAGCGGCTGCTTCGGGCTGGGAGGGCACGTTGATCACCACTGGACTCTCCCTGACAGACAGGAGGTGCCCATTCCTGCGTGGCCATCTGTCCCGTCTCTCTGCCGGTGCCCTGAGCCCAGTGAGCTCTTTCACCTCGACCCTGCCTGGCCCATGGGTGCTTCCTGCCGTACTGTTACCAGGACGGATGCTGCCCTGTTTCCCTTTCTCCCCAGATAGTTCCTCTAGGTTCCTGGATAACTCCTGTGGGCACGCCCTTCCCTGGCACTCATGTCTGTGGGTTTGTGTGCCTCCTCCATCAGACTCAGAGATCCCTAAGAGCGGAGAGCAGGAGTGATTCAGTGTAGAGCCGATTAGAGTGGGTGAGGAGGGTGGCTGGGGCTGAGCATCTTAGATGTCAGTGCTGGAAGAGAGCCTGGCATCGGACTGGGTGCTGGGGGCTGAGTATCAGCACATGCAGGTGGCCTGGCCTCAGGCCTGCAGGTCTCACCTGTGCACTGATGTCACGCCAGGTGTGTGCAGAGCCTCTGGTGGTCTCAGTGGGCGCTGCGTCACCACCGAGGTCTCTGGGGACAGCCCCCCTTTCCTCCTCCTGGGCAGGTGGGACGTCATGCCCGGAGCGGCCCGGCCTGCTGTCCTCGCTGTCCACACTTTTCAATTCTTTGTCTTGCTTCTGGGTCCCCAGGTCCCTGATGCGTTTTACTACAAGTGCCAAGAAATGGGAGGCGTCTGGAAGTGGGGTGATGGGTCCCTGTGGGGTTCCTGGCTACCACAGTGTTTCTTTGAACCTTAGGAGGAATCCCCAAGTGGCTTCCTTCAACTGTGGTGGCAGCCGGTGGCTGTAAACATGCCAATAATCCCGCCCCCCTGCCTACAACATGCCAGCCGCCCACAAACGCAAAGCAGGCCAGACAGTGTCTCCAGGAGGCTCCTCCGCCGGGAGAGGTGGCCCCCCTGCCCCCCGACCCGACACCGCAGAGTCCCTGCTATGGCTCCCTCCACACTTCCCAGCGTCCTCCCCTGCTCCCAGAGCCCTCCACGGCCCGTCAGCAGGCAGCTTGCTTTCTGGGGGTGCTGGCCAGTGGCTGAACGTGGCTTTCACGCTGGACAGGGGCCCTGCAGCCCTGGGGTCCTCTCGTCACCCTGTCCCAGTGCCCCATGTCTGCATGCCCTAAAGGTCTGTGCAGGTCGCACAGAGGGAGGAACGAGCCTCCGCTTCCAAATGCATGTAGCATTCAGCCCAGGTGGCAGATTGTTCTGGAAAGCCCTGGTGAGTCATGCTGCCATCTGGGGTGCAGGCTGGCTCTGCTCCTCCCTCGAGGCTCCCCGGCTAGCTGGACGGTAGATCTGAGCCTCTGGGGTGGGGTCCTGAGACCCCCCACCTCCTCCGGAGGAAGCAGCGTGGTGATTGGAGGGCAGGGGTAGGGTCGCCTCCCGTGTGCATGGGTCTGCTGTGTCGCCTCTTCTATCGACGGGCACAGCTCGTGCTTCACAGCCTAGCCCCGGGGGCCATCTTCTTTCCAGCCCCAGCACATAGTTGGCGCTCAGTAATCGACCTTCAGATGTAAAACCAAAACACAGCAAAACCACTAGATGCTGGAAGAGACCACAGCTGTCAAAGAGCCCCCTGCAATGCACACGGGACTGGGGGACGTAGTTTCAGGGGCAGGAGTCTCTGCCATTTAGGCTGGAGGGGGCTCCCTTCCCTGACCCCTCCCCAGGCCCTGCCCCCTTCCCTTTCCAGCTCCCTTTGACTCCCTGGCTGGACCAGGTATTCCCACAGCCGTCAGGCCTCCCTTCCTCAGCCTCCCTTCCTCAGCCTCCCTTCCTCTGATCCTGAGAGGTTGGGGATTTATACCCGGGGTCAGGGAGCTGGCACACATCCCATGGGAAGAAGAGCTGGGGTACAGGGGATCCCAGTGAGGTGTTTGCTGTTGGGTAGACTTTCTGGGGCTCAACTCTGCAGTCTTTCCCAAATGCTGGTGTTGGGGACTTTGACCTCTGCCCTGGCTGTTCTCTTGGGACTGGCTGGGCCCACCGGACCCCACTCCAGCTCCTCTGGGGAAGTGGGGGGATGGGTGGGTGAGCCCTGGCTCAGACCAAGGGTCAGGGCTGGCCTGGACCCTGGCCCTGCCCATGTGTGTGTCCCCAGGGCCAGCTGGGCACGTCCCAGGGGAACCCAGAGACCTTCCTTTGCCAGTGAACAGAAACAGGCAGGTGGGCCCTTGACTCCACATCCACCGGGGTGCGTCCGTCCAGGCTGCCCAGCACCCCACTCCTGCCGCAGACTGTGTGTGTGCGGGGACGAAGCCCCCTGGAGATGCCGGACCCGGCCTGCTGTCTCCACGGCCGTGCTGGCTGTGGTGGTGGTGGTGGGGTAACCATGTCACTTGCTGCCTCTCCCCTCTGTCAGCTCGGGACACCGGGTCTTTGCTTTATTATTTCGTTGATCTCTGAACTTGAACTCTGGGCCTGGGCGCTGTCCCTCAGCTCTTCAGCTCAAGACAAGTGCTCTACAGCTTGAGCTACAGCGCCACTTCTGGTTTGCTGGTGGTTTATTGGAGATAAGAGTCTCTTGGACTTTCCTGCCCGGGCTGGCTTTGAACCGTGATCCTCAGATCTCAGCCTCCTGAGTAGCCGGGCCACGGGGCGTGAGCCGCCGGCCGGGGCCGCCGGGATTCTTGCTGGGGCCCAGCAGGTGCCGCGGCGGGCGGGGCGGGCGGGGCGGGCGGGGCGGGCGGGCGGCCTTGCCAGCGCGCGGGCGGCAGGTGGCGCTGCGGCCCCGGCGGGGCGGCCGGGCTGCGCGGCGGCCTCGTCCCCTCCTCCGCCCGCCCCTCGCCCGCTCCTTTCTCTGCGCTCCGCCCGCCCGCGCTCCCCGCGCTCCCCGCGCCCTCGCGCTCTCCCCGCCGCCGCCGCCGCCCCGGCCCGGACGCCCCGCGCCGCCGCCCCTCGGCGACCATGGCGCACCCGGGCCCCGCCGCCCGAGCCCGCCGCCCCGGGGCCCCGCCGCCGCCGCCCCGGCCCCGGCCCCGCGCGCGGCCGCTCCTGCTGCTGCTGCTGCCGCTGCTGCTGCCGCCGCCGCTGCCGGCCGAGCCCGGGCGCCCGGGGGCCCCCGCGCGGGTCACCCGGGGCCCGCCGAGCCCGCCCCGCGGCCGCCCGGACGGCGCGGCTCCCGCGCCCCGCGCCCCGGCTCCGGGCCGGGGGCGCCCCGCGCGGGCGGCGGCGGCGGGGGCCTCGCGGGCGCAGGTCTCGCTGGTCAGCTCCTCGTTCGTGCTCAAGGGGGACGCGACGCACAACCAGGCGATGGTGCACTGGACCGGGGAGAGCAGCGGCGTAAGTCACCGGCCCGGCCCGCCCGGCCCGGCCTCCCCACGACCTGCGCGCCCGCCGCCCGGCTCGGTGCGCCCTCCGCCGCGCCGGGGTCCGCGTGACCCGGCGGCCTGGCAGGGCACGGTCCCCGCGCCGAGCCCCGGGGGTTGGGGGCTCCCTCGCAGTGTGTGTGTGCGCGCGCGCGAGTGTGCGAGAGTGCCGGTGTGAGCCTGTGGGTGTGTATGAGTGCGAGCGTGTGAGTGCGCGTGTGCATGAGTTGTATGAGTGAGTGTGCGAGTGTGTTTGTGCGAGTGTTGGTGCATGTGTGTGTGAGTGTCCATGAGTGAGTGCATCTGTGTGACTGCATGAGTGTGTGCATGTGAGTGTGTGTGTGCGTGAGTGTGCACGTGTGAGTGTGCATGGGTGTATGAACATGCATGAGTTAGTGTGAATGTGCCTGAGTATGTGTATGTGTGTGAGTGTGCATGAGTGAGTGTGTGAGTGTACATGAGTGTGCATGTGTGGGTGTGCATGAGTGCGAGTGTGCATGAGTGTGTGCATGTGTGGGTGTGCATGAGTGTGCATGAGTGTATGCATGTGAGTGAGTGTGCACTCACATGCTAGCCTTAGACTGAGCCGGGGCCAATGGTCACTCTGGGGTCCCGGGTCTGCCAGTGTAGGCGAAGGGGTGGGGTCCGCTCTGGGGGGGGAAGGGAGGAGAGATGAAGTGGCCTTCACTTCTCTTAGCCCATCTTCTCCATGCCCTCTGGCTGACCTCACCTCCTCCTGGCTCCCGGAGTTCTCAGGGGCCACCTGGTACCTCGCTTCCGTTTGTGCTGTGGAAGAGATGGGGTGTGTGTGGGGGGGTGGCGGCCGCACCCGAAGCGTGCTGGGCCTGGAGCGCGGTGTCTCCTCCCCAGCGGCTGGTGGCCTGCAGGGCCCAGGTCCCCCCTGAGGTCCTGGGTCATTTCTGGCATCTCCGTGTGGACCGGAATCCCTCAGGGCAGAGCTGATCCCCTGTCGTGGTGAGCCCGCAGGGAGCAGTCAGCGCTCTGGAGGGGGGGTGCCCCTCTCCTGAGGGCCTGGGTCAGCTCTCCATCTGCATTTGACAAGGGGCCAGACCCAGCTGTGCAGCCGGCCAGCCTTTCCCCGCTGGCCCAAACTCACGGACAAATCCTGTTCACATTCCCTGCGGGCTAGAAGGAAACCTGGAAACTGACAACTCCGACCAAATAAACATGGAGAGTCAATCCCGTGGCTCTGGACCTAGCCAAAGCAGTCTGCTGAGGCAGGTCCTCCAGCAAGCCTCTTCCTGCCCCTCTGTCCCTCAGCATCAGGGGCTGGGGGGAGGGGGACCACGCTGCCTCCAGCATCCCGTTCTGAGCCCTGGGGGCCTGGAGGAGCTTCTCAGAGAGTTGTGGCAGGGGACTGGCTGGCGGGCTGAGGCCTCGGGGGTCTGGAAGGAGTCTGTTCACGGTATCCATGCCCATGGGGGCGTGGCTGGCCTCAGCGGGTGGTCTTGTATCCTGGTTGCTGGCACATGAGTGCTGGCTGTTGGGCAGTGAGCAGGGGTGAGTGCAGGGCTACACCAGCTTCCCTGCCAAGTAGGGGAGAGAAGTCCAAGCAACTAGACAGAAGCTTCTGGGGGCCCAGGCCCCGCCCACGGCAGTCTGGGATTATCAAGGGTGGGTGTCCAATTGGCTAGGAGAAGGAGATCTCCGAGTGCCGCTGCGCACCAGTGACTCACACCTATCTGAGTTACAAAGGAGACTGTGATCTGAGGACAGTGGTTCAAAGCCAGCCTGGAGAGGCAAGTCTGAGGCTCTTATCTCCAATGAGCCAGCAAAAAAAGCCAGAAGTAGAGCTGTGGCCCCAGTGGCGCAGCCCCAGCCTGGGGTGAGAAGGCTCAGGGACAGGCCCAGCTTTGCCTTCAAGCCTCAGGACAGGCACAGACGCACACAGCATTGAGAGGGGACGGCCTGCGACTAATGGCGTCTGAGCACCTTCCACTAGAAGGAGCGGCAGGGTTCAAGCTGCTTCTAAGACAGTGCCCCGCCGCAGCCCAGGAACATAGGTGAGCTTTCCTCACCACGGCTCCGTTCTCCCTGCTCCCATGGAGAGGGGCTGGGACTCGCTTGGAAGTTCAAACATTGCCTGCCTGACATCTAGCTGTGGCAAGCGCTTGTTATATGTAGGATTAATGTCTCATTGAAACCAACCTCCATCCTTTTTTACGGCCCCGGAGTGAGCAGTGCACACACAGCGCCAGGGCTTGCGTCTCCGGGTGCCCCCCCGGCCCGTGGGTGTCCATCGCCGCGCTGGTCTCTGCCTCTGGGGTCACCGGTTCCTATAACCGGGGATGCAAGCATGTCTGCCTCAGCCCAGGAATCGGAATGCGCTCCTTCCCCGGAGATCCTTGAACTTCAGCCTTGCTCAGCCTTGGATGTGGACCCCAGCTTCATGAAGCTTTGTCCCCTCAGTTCTGTTTCCTCCTGCCTGTCCCCCTCTTCTGCCTGGCCCTCCTCCACACCTAGCATGTGGAGGGGGTCACGTGCAGAGAGACCTCCATGATGAGCAATCTTCTGCTTGGGGGTCTTGATGAGCCCTTGTGAATGCCTATGTGCGTAAACTGAGAGCGAGCACTGCAGGTTCTAAGAGCTTCTGAAACCTGGTTCTCTGAGTTAGAAGGTCAGGGGCAGCCAGATGAGGTGGCTCACATCCATAACCCAGGAGGCTGAGATGGTGGTTGGGGCCAGACTGGGTCTTAACTAGTGAGCTGGGCATAGTAGTTTACATCTGAAATCAAAGTTTTTCTGGAGGCATGGCTAAAAGAGGATCACAGTCTGAAGCCTGGCCTGTAACACTATCCCCCCCGCCCCCCAAAAGTCAAAGATTCCCAACTATAGCAAAAAGGAGGGCTGGGGGTGTGGTTCAGCACTAGAGTGCCTGCTTAGCAATCGAGAGTCCCTGAGTTCAAACTCCAGTACCGCCAAAGCAAAAATATCAAGAGTAAAGGCAGATCCTCCTCTGGCAGCCCAGCCCAGTTGCCCTGGGAGGTCAGCCATGGCACCTGCCTGAGCAGGTGCATTCGTGTGCCGGATGGCAGGGTGGCAGCCTCCTTCCGGGAGGCTGGGAGTCTCGAGTTCTAGCTGTGGGCAGGGCTGGCTTCCCTGCCCCTGGCTTGCAGCGTCTCCACAGTCCTTCTGCGTGTCTTATCCCGACCTCCTCCTCCTCCTGCCCCTCCTTTCTCTCCCCCCCCTCCTCCTTCCCTTCCTCCCCCTCCTCTGCTTTTGCTGGTTCTGGGGCTTGAACTCAGGGCCTTGGCGCTGTCCCTGAGCTTTTGTTCAAGGCTAGCACTCTACCATTGGAGCCACAGCACCGCTTCTGGCTTTTTCTGTGTATGTGGTGCTGAGGAATGGAACCTGGGGCTTCATGCATGCTAGGCAAACATGCTACCACTGAGCCACCTTCCCCGCCCCAACCACTCTTCTTACAAAGACTCCAGTTACATGGAATAAGTTTACGGCAATGACCTCATTGAAAGGTAATCACCTATTTAAAATACAGTCTCTTCTAAGGTGCTGGGATCAGGCTGAGAAGCCGGGCCTGGCTCTCAGTGGGAAGGATGGCAGGGGTGGGAGGAGCCCCACATGGGAGGCGGGGCCTGGGTTGTGGGGGGGAGGAGGTGGAGGGCAGAGGTGCATGGAGGGAGGCTGAGTTCTCAGCAGGAAGGCCTGTGGCCTGGAGACTGGAATTTGAGGGTGCATGTGTACCCCATGAGGCAGATGAACAGAAGCCTGAGGGAGGAAGCTGGGGTAGTGAGCATGCTGTGTATGTGTGTGTGCATTGTGTACATGTGTGCGTGTGCGAGTGTATCCGTGTGTGTATGTGCGCATATGCGTGCACATGCATGTACACCTGTGCGTGAATGTGTTGGACATGAGTGTGCATGTTTGTGTGTGCCATGCATATGCCTATGTGCATGCATGCGAGTGTGTCCACGCGTGGGCATGTGTACATGCCTTGCATGTGTGTGTGCATACCGGCTCTGGCCGGGGCCTGGCTGTAACAGGACGTGTGTCAGCTGTGTGTGCGGGGGCCATGGTGTGGGCTCTGGAGCCAGCGCTTGCTCCAGGCTCTGCAGGGACTGCAGGGGGATGAGGCGCTGGTGTGCCCCGGTGCCGGCGGGCTCCAAGATGATGCTCATGACTCTCACCCAACACCGCAGCTTCCTCGGTCTCCACTCCTCTCCTGCCAACGCACAGCGGCCGCTCCTCTGCCTGTCTCTGCTCAGACGTGCTTGATACCCACGTTCCCAATCTTTCTTGGGCCTCAGTTTCCCCATCCGTAACAGGAGCGGCAGCCCTGTGATCCCCATACACACGTTAGTGTATGTGTGTTTGGTTCGTAGACAGGGGAACGGGGATTAAAGGAAGGAGTGAGGAGCTGTGTGGAGGTGAGCTGGATTCTGGGTGTGAAGTACCCATACCCACGTCTTTTGTTATTCTGATGGACATGGCCTGCACCCCACCTCTCCCCTTCCCCCCCCCCCATCCCTGTCCAGCACCTTGCTTCAGGCCTGCTGTGGACAATATGGAGAGCTGCTCACCCTGACTCCAGACAGGCCACCCTTGTCATTTTTAACATCAAATAGGGAGTGAGAGCCAGCCCGGCAAAACCGGAAGTGGAGAAACAGAAACTCCAGTATTTAGCTGGGCGCTGGCGGGCACCGGTGGCGCGCTTCTGCGATCCTAGCTACTCTGGAGCTGAGATCTGAGGATTGCTCCTCGAAGCCAGCCTGGACAGAAAGGTCCCGGGACTCTTAACCACCACAAAGTGGGAAGTGGAAGAGCTCTATCCGTGAGCGAAAAAAGATCAGGGACAGTGCCCAGACCCAGACGGAAAAGCGTCCATATTCTTTTGAGGTGGAAAAATTCCTTCTCGTTTGGCATTTAGCTTGCAGTCACTTACTGTATTTGCACAGAAAAGCACAATCATTTAATTAGTTTCTCCTCACACCAGCT